TTATTTAGAAAATAAGAGAAGGCCTTGAAATGATATTGATAAAAGAGCTCGTAAAAATGTTTTCATTGAGAAAAATAATTCTCAAGCACTACAACTGTTCGAATCTATATACAGAAAGTATATAAATACTAAAAAATTTAAAATATATTTAATAGTGTAGAAAGTTAAAAATACAAAATATTTAACAGTGTAGAAAGTAAAAAATAAAAATATTTAAATGTTTGTTTTCTATTGCAAAACTGTATACTTAATTTTTATATAATAAAAAACTTAGAATCATATTTAATTTTCAACAAGTTATTTATGGTAATGGTTAAATAATTTATTATAAATTTTGGTAGTAAGAGATATTTTGATTTTGGGCCAGATAATATTTTGATTCTACTAATCAAACTCATAGTTGTACCTTTTAAAACCATAATACCTTTTAAAACGTATGAAAGAAACAAAAGAGAAAGTATATGTTGAAAAAAAATGAAATTTCTATTTAGAAAATAATAGTGAAAGATTGTTCCTAACACGAAATCTATACCTGACAAAGTCTTATTTATCATTACTATGTGCTTATGCTAATAAATTAAGTGCAAAGTGTGGTGATATATAATAGGATTCTTCCACGCCACAAAAGTATTATCGTTCTCATTCATTGAATTGAAGTTTCAAACCTTCAGATAATAACTGTACCGCATCATTATTGACACCTGTATAGTATACTAAGATATTTATTGGATAAAATATCTTAAATATTTTAAGCGGATAAGATATTTATGAGTAATTAACCAGATGTTCAGGTGATTAAGGTTATTTTTATTTCGTTTATGAAACACTTATAAATAGAATGACACATTCAAAAGCCAGGTATACCACTTACGTCAGATGGACTCTATATAATATTCTACAGTGATAATATAATCACTTTCTTGAGAGTTGAGATTCCATAACTCACGTCTGACTTGAACGTCGGAGTATTTTCGCAGGTACCTCTCCCTTCGTTGATGAAAATAGATGAGCATTACGAGTTAAAGGAGTGCGAAGGACAACAATTGAGGAAAAGCGAGCTTCCAGACATTTAAAAACAACAAAGACATTTAAAAAAAGTTAATCCAAAAATGAGCTACCCAATCACAACACAACAAAACAACACCCTCGTTGACTTGACCTGCTTTACCTAACTATTAAAGTCACCACACCTACTATTGTCTACATACATTTCATCCCACCCTCACTTCTTTCTTTTATAACTTCAAATTTTAATTTAATTACATAATTTACAATATTGAAATATTATATTTAAAATCTTAATCGCATATTTCTTTATCCTACGTTAAAACATCGGATTGGCATAAAAAACCGTTAATTAATTAATTCTCATGATCCGGCTGCTTCTTTATGCAAGTGCGTAATTTTTTAAACCTCACTTGATGATAAAACGTACTATATTTATAAGATATATTAAAATAAATCAATATGACCTAATGCACTGACTGCATGCAGCTAAAGGATCGGCTCCAAATTATTCTAGCACATACCACATTCAAATCCAATGTTAATCATATAAATTTCATCATTAAAAGACAAGAAATATCATTACTTTGTGTTACTAACTGGATACCGATCGGTCACACTCATTGGCTACCGATCGGTCTCAATCAGCTTTTCCTCCGTTCGGTCTCGACAATTATGGAGCAGAGTTAATGCACAATGAATGTAATAACGGCTACCGTTAAACAATTAAGGTTTGCATTATTGGCCATTAAGAGGTAAATTAATGTGTCAGATTACTTTAAAACTCTATAAATAAGGGTTTATGTTTAAGGTAAAGACAGATTCAACTCATACTACAATACGTCCTATTTACATCTTATTAGGATGTCAATATTTTAACTGTAGCAAACAGTTCATAAACCGCTCCTAATTTGAGCGTCGGAGTGCCTTTTGCAGGTACCTCCCCTCATTCCACGACCGAGCGGGCAATATTGAAAGTGACCGATCGGTCACATTGGAAGCAGGCAGGCGGATCACGTCAGTCGGAGACACCCTCCCCCGCGGCTCGGACAAGGAGAAGAGTGAAGACAGCACAACTGTACATCGGAGCAGACAACTTGAAATGTTTTGGATTAGGGTTCTAAATCCTGCCGAAACACTTTGTTATAATTACAAGAAAATAAGTAAAAAAGGGAGCCATGTCTACATCATTAAACTGAGAGACACTGTATTAAATAATTTTTTATGTACTAATTAGTGTTAATATTATAGCCATCAATAATGATAATCAGAAATAACCGTCAATTCTTCACGAACAGGAAAAGCATATAATGTGAAAGAAAAAAAAATAAAAATCATATCAAGCCGAATAAATCCAAAACAAGTTTAAATACACGAACAATTGTAGTCAGGATAACAAGTTAGAATTTTATATACTCGAATAAATTCAAATTTATATTTTATTATTTATAAATTTATTAATATAATTTAAATTTACTTTTAATATAATATTAATTTATTAAAATTTAATAATAAATAATATAAAATCATAAATTTTTATAATAATAATATTAAAATGTTTTTGAGTTAAAAATATTCACTATATTTATATAATTTATTTAAAAATAATAACGTTTTTAATTAAAAAAATTGGCTTAATATAAATCCAAAATCTGAAAAATCCTTTAATCTCGCAATCTGAATAATGTGAATCCGATTAACTATAAGTTATATAAATGAAATGGTAAAATATGAATTTTAAAGGAACATGCAGAAAGTTAGAAAGTTGAGTGACAGAGATTTCATTCGTGAATTTGATGACAGCAGAAGAGATGAAAGTTTATTGATGATAAAAAAATGAAGTTTTAAGGAAACTCCATTTCCATGTGGGTAGACCCAACGAAGGATCTACAGAGAGTTGGTAGGGTTATTTCAGTATTGATTAGTGGTATTATGAGGAAGCATGTGAAGAGGAAGAAGAGGTTCCCCGAGAGGACAGAAGAGAACCCTGTAATTAGAGCCAGCAGGGCAAGTAAATGTGCTTGTAGGGTCATCCTGAGGGTAACTGTAAGCATCACGGCACCTCTCCTTGAAGAACTTAGAGTAGCTTGTCGGCCCACAGCTTCCTTGCCCATTCGTGCAGCAATACTCGTTCGTCTTAAACACGGTGCATGGGTTGTTGCATCCACCTTGGGCCCTTAATGGGCCAGGGCACTGCCCATTAATGTCTGCAGTGCAACTGATTCTATGACACCCACCGTTCACGGGGTAGAAGTCCATCGGGATGTTGAAACCATCCACCAGAGAGATGTCGTAGAAGTCCATATTGTTGAATTGGTTCAGGGCGAACTCCGCCAGGGTGTTCGGAGGGACGCCCCAGCCCTGGCAGTTCAGGCCGCCGGTGCAGTCACCGGTCTGGCACCGCCCGCGCCCACTGCCGTCGAAGTTGCACCCGGTGCGGCCCCATATGCGGGCCATGGCAGTGCCCGGGTTCACCCACAGGTTCCACGTCTGCCCGCGATCCAGGCGCCGCCCGCCGCCGGGGCTGGCTGCTGCCCACACCGTGTACGGGCAGTTGTTGACGATCTCGAAGTTTGCAGCGGTGGCGAGAGATAATGAGGCAAGGATGAAAAGGGAGCAAAGTGAGTGTGAGTGAGGCATGTTTATGTGTTGAGTGTGGATTCGAGAAATGGTGTTTGAGGTTTATATAGAGTTACGGTTTTGTGTAGAGTGAACGCAGATGAATTAAGAGGGAAAATATCGCTTTTAAATGAATAGTGTTTGTGGAAAATTAGTGACAAAGCTTTGGGGCGGCTATCCATCTTACTCAAGTTTTGATGAGCCTTCACCTTTTTCTTTCTTCTTCTTCCTTATCTCTGTCAAACTTTATTTCTTTTTGCTCTTCATATATATCTATTCTGTGTATTTGGGTCAAACAGAACAGTTACATCTGAATTCAATCAAATATTTCGATAAAATAGTGATGGCTACGTGTGCCAGCTAATTTTAAGATGTTTTAATCACTAAAAAACTTTGTGAAAATAAATTAGTAAAATCAAGTGCCCTTTAAAAAGTCCAATTAAGGCCTACACTTTAAAATTGGGCAATAGACATTGCATTTAGAAACTAGTTTTTATTGTTAAACGTTTTTCCTTATATATAATCAAAGTCTCTTAAATAATGAGTAATTAGTACATTTTTTTTCGGGTATTTGAGTGGCTATGGATGTGCGGATACTAGATAGGATTATAATAGCATTTAATTTGGAAATATTATTAGATATTCAAGAATCTTATTTTTAAATTACATTTATTAACTACAAAAGGTCACAATTGATAAAACTTGTAAGAGAAACTTATAATAAAAGCTAACCAACATACATCTTATCAATACATAATTAAGTCTATTATTTAAATAAGAATGATTTATGTCATTTAAATAAGTTTAAAGTAGAGGAAATTACAATTTACTCAATTGTATATAAATATGTTCGTTTCATCGTTTTACATTTATTAATCACTTAAACCGGTAATTTTAACTGATTTTAACAACTTTTTTACCAGGAAAGAAACTTTGTACATAAACCTCAATTTCATTTCGACGTCGCTGTTCAATCTTAGCTTTTTAATTACTTTTGTCAAATATTGGGAAAATATTTTCAACATGAACAATGGACGACAGCGGAAAACTATTTGGTTTATATTAATGAAACTCACAAGTCGTCGTCGATGATATAATTCCCACGTTTTCATACCCAGAGGTGGATCGGTGCATCCCATCACAAAATGTTCATGATGATTTTCATTATTATCAATAAAAAAAATATGTTTATATATTATAAATATAATCTTTTAAATTAGATATATTACAATTAGTAGTTTTTTAATTTTAATAAATTCGTATTAAAATATGAGTTTTATTAATAATGAACTTATTCAACTAAAACTGGATATATAAAAGAAAAAAACAACATTGATTTGATTTTTGTTTCGAAATACCATCTTGCCATCATAACAATAACTGGAAGCTTGTTTACTGTCATGAGAATTATTATGTAAAGTATTATGGGACAAACAAAGAGCACCACATCCCATGAGACAGAGATCCGCGCCCCGATAACATTTTATTTGTTGTCATAATACATCTATCAAAGTATACAATAACACAATGCGAATCATTGAAAAAAAAATATAATAAAGCAGTGAAGAGATGATGGATTAAGGGCAAAAGACAACCCTATAATCGGATCCTCCCCTGCAAGTGAATGTGCTGGTGGCATCATCCATAGGGTAACTGTATGCATCTGGGCACTTCTCCTTGAAATACTTCGAATAATCGGTGGGACCGCACCCCGAAGAACCGGAGGTACAACAGTACTCCGTCGTATTGAAAACCGTGCATGGGTTGTTACAACCGCCAGGAGCCTGCAGCTGAGTGGGGCAATCTCCGATGACGTCGGCGGCGCATTTTACGTTGCTGCAGTTATATGTCGGGTTCAACTGAACCGGAAGGTTGAAACCATCTACCAGGGAGATGTCGTAGAAGTCGAGGTTGTTGTACTGGTTCAGCGCGAATTCCACCAGCGTGTTTGGGGGTGTACCGTAAGTGTTGTTGCACACGAGAAGACCGTCGCAGTCGCCGGTTAAGCAACTACCGCGTCCCGCGTTGTCGAAGGTGCAGTTTGTTCGCCCCCAAATGCGTCCTCCCGTGGTGCCGTTCGCCACGTCGATGCTCCATGACTCGTTAGGGTTCAGCCGTACGCCGCCACCGGGCACGGCGGCGGCCCATACCGTAAAGTTGCAATTATTTGTGACGTTGAAGGTCGCTGCCTGGGCTGCGACGGTGCAGCTTATGGCGACGAAGAGAAACAACGAGAGGCTTTTGGTGACTGCCATTGTTGTTATTGATGTTTGTTAAAATGGGTAAGAGGTTTTGTGATCGTGTCTATCATTTTTATAGTAAGGTTGATTTCAGGAAAGCAACAGGATTTTTGAAAAATTCATGTAGTGATGTCATGTATGTAGAAGATTAAAATTGTGGACATTGACGACTAGTTGAACATTTTGAAATCAAAAAATAACTGAACATGAAGAAAATTGTTGGTACTTACCAAATTAAGTCACGTTAACAAATTGAAGCGTGTTTTAAATTTGAGCCGTGATTGTGGAAAGCCATGTAATTTGAATCTTTGAATAAATTGCAAGTTTAACGGTTCCTTTTCATAATACATAGTAAAACATTAATGTACTTGATTTTCTGGTTGTCTTTTCATATGAAAGTGTCTGGAATGGTGTTGATTAATCTAAGATATGATTACGAAAAGGAAATGGAAAAACAAATTTGCATTACACGAAGAATCGAAAAAGAGAAAGGTTTATGATTTTTGGTTCACCGTCACAATGAATGTTGAAAATGGAAATACGCAAATATGAAATCGTGCCAAACTAATTTCAACACGAAAGAAGTAACTTATGTTCTTACGACATAAGAAGAGTCTACAAAAATAATAATAGATAAAAGCTACAAAAGTCATTTACACCAAAGAGTTTAATTTTCAAATCGAGCCATCGATTCATCTACGACATGTTGCTCCTTGTAGAAATGATATTACAACATCATTTCCCTTCTTAAAAAATAATCCAAATGGACGGGGTTAAAAATTCTCAAAGTCAAAAGTCACGTTCCATTTTATATTTTTTAGAGCTGAAGGTTGAAAAAAAAATTAATACAGGTACGAATAAAATAAGAAAGTCAATTAAAAAATGAGCGAAAGTTTTGAAAATATTTTCTTAAATACCCAACATTTCTTTCATCTTGATCTTCTAGAGTTGGTAAATCTTGAAATTTCTTCGCTTATTTACTTGCGTGTAGATGAGAGATTTGAAAATTCCAATATTCTTATTTTTCTACGACAAACCATGGCCTCCACTATACTAAAAGCAGGTCCGAGAGTCTTGGGTTTACCGATTGCAGCCCCATAATAAGAAATATGGGCCGTATGTAGCGGAAGCGATCTAGGCCCATCTTATGTCACTACCTATTTGATCTTCATACCGATTTTTTTTGTTTTTGCTTTCTACTGAAACTATTTTCCCTTCTGTATAATAAATAAATAAATAAAAACTCCATTACTTTAAAATACAAAATTGTTTTTTCTCTGTTGTCATATTTGCATCCACCTTGCATTTTTTTTAGGGTTAAATATGTTTTTAGTCCCTAAACTATTGGCCGTTTCTGGTTTTCGTCCCTCTTTCAAAATAAGGTACAATTTGGTCCTCATTCTTTTCGAAACTTTGGTTTTAGTCCTCGAAAACTAACACCGTTAAAAATGTGTTGACGTGGTTAACGGGAGACTGACACAATTTTTTTTTTGTCAGAGTTTATCAGCTTTTCTCCAGTGTCACCTCTCTCTCTTCAACTTCTCTTTCTCTCTCATTCCTCCAAACTCATTCCAATTCTCACTCTCATGGGTTGTTACCTCTCCGTCATTCCTTGTGTCCTCTTCTACTTTCTTCAACTCTGAGGGGGCGCGGCCCCGGTTACCGATACTTCGGCACGGCAAAGAAGCTTCCCGGCGTCAAGGAGCTCTTCGAGAAGCCCCCGGAGCTCCGCAAGAATAATTTACCTTGTTAGATTATGGTGCCATTTATTGGTTTGCTTTTTCATAGATGAATGAGGTAGAGTACTGTTCATGTTAAAATATGATACAATTTCATTAATAAACTAGATTACAATAATTTCACAAGTCCTTGGTTGGCCCCATGCTTGCCATGGGACGAGTAATTTTGAATATTTAACATATTTAAGTTTAAATGATAAACGTATGCTGCGTGGAGAATTTGTCGAGATGATATTTGTTGTTTAGCTTTTGGTGGATTAACATGACCACATTGTTTCATGCTTGTAGGACCATATGACCTCTTCTCGTGATTCAAGGAGAATGATTTAAACTTTAGATCTTGTGTTGTTATGGAGGATTATTTACGGTGTGGAATTGCTGGACATTAATAGATAAAAAATGTTCATAGTTTCGTTACCTGTGCAAAATGTTGATTTTCTTGGCAGTGATGGAGCTCTATAAATGAAATTCTACATGTCCATGTTGACAGCAAAATAATAAAATGAGAATACATTTTGGACATGAAGAGATTCAAAATGGTTGTCGCTTTGAATTAGATTTTAGCATAAGAATGTTGTGTAGCACTGTAATGTTTTATTTTCTTGAGTATGTTGTGTATGTAGTTAATGGTTGAGATATTACAACTGTAATTCAGGCTTCAGGTAAAATACAACTCAGATTTTTCAAATGTCCATTCATATTTATTGTAT